AAGCTGTGTGCAGCTTCGACCGGCCTTGATAATTAAAATAGACAGACCCGGTAGAACCAGGAGCAAAGATGAACATGTTGATCAATGAGGTGTGAGGACAGATTGAAATCAGTCCTCAAGTGGGAGATTGTTAAGTCAATGGGCAACAACCCATTTTCTTCTAACTACCAAAGATAAATAAAAAAAAATGGAGTAGCACACCGTGGGAGAAAAATGTTAGCACACATTTGTAGAAATTTTGGTGCATTCTTTCTCTATAAATAGAGCTAGAATCGTGATGTAAAAATCACACCAAAAGAAAACATAACAAGAGAGATAGAGAGAAAAAAGAGTAGAGAGAGTGTATTCATACGGGCTTGTGTGAGTTGTAACATTCGGTTTATCCTCTTTTTCTAGTTCATTCTCCTGGCTTGGTTCGCCCCCAGACGTAGGATTTAATCCGAACTGGGTTAACAAACTTTCGTGTCTTTTATCGATTTCACATTGGTGTGTTATTATTATTCCATCTTATCCGACCTTATTTCCCGACATAAGGTTCCACTAAAAAATAAAAATCAACAGGCCGGTGGTTTACAACATTACATACGGTGCTCCACCTGTCTGCATGACCCAATCCTCCATGTATATAATTACAGAATGCGTTGAGCTTAATTGACACATTCTCACGTTTCGTAATCTTATGTTGCAAAAATTTGTGCTTCGGAGTCAGGCTTGGACATAATTTAATATTTTTTTATAGAAAAATAATTAGGCTTGAATTCCATTTAATGTTTATATTTTTCATATTAAATCCAAATGGATATCTTACTTATTTTCTTCTACAAATTACCATAAATATTTTATGTTTTTCTTTCTTACATTACCATATATTACATCTCATTTTCTTATTTAATTCATACATCAATTATTATAAATGTTTCTCCTTCTTATCTTTAAAATTTTATAATTTTTTGTTTGTATTTAGTTTTCATATATGATATATCAAATTATTTATCTTTTAACGATCTTCGTTTTGACATCCATATTATATATATAATACAGAAAAAATGATATATATCTGTAAAAATAAAAGTTAAATGTATTTATCAAACTGAATTAAAAACTATTGAATAAAGTATAAATTATCTTATAAAGTAATAAAAATTTACGTGTATTAACATACCAAAATTTACTTGAAAAATATGTAAAGTAAGTAAGAACATCAAATTGATGTAAAAAATATACTAAAAGTTTATTTCTCAACTTAAATAAAGAATACATAGAAAATGTTCATTAATATAATTATAATAATGATAATAATTTTACATTTCATAAGTTTTAATCTCATACACATTATATTTAATAATATTGATTGCCATAAAGTTAAAGTTAATTTAAAAACTATTAGATTGGGGAAGAGAACAGTGTAAAATATAATATAATGGCTTTGTTTGGTAATCAGCTGTTAGCTGTTAGCTGTTAGCGGATTGCATTAGCTG